TTGTTATGATCAAAAAAATATTTTTTGTTTATTCTTGGTGGGCCTTGGTTTTATAAATGACCTTGCATTTTGTGATAGTACAGTGGCTCTGAAGTGATCAAGAAAAGTAAGAAAAAATAAGAAAGGAAACCTCTCTCTGTTTTCTCATGGCAGGATTTAGTTTAAAACTGGCTGTTAGCAAGAGACTGTATTTTAGATAATCTGTGAACTTATCTCTCTTCCACAACAGGTTGTATCCAACAACAAAGAAATAGTAACAGGCTTGTAAGCAGGGAAATAAAAACCTACCCTAGCTGGAACTGCTTGGCTTCACACAATATTATTTACCATACAAATGATGGTTTTAAGCTTTATATGAAAGTATTTCCATAGAACTATTCCACAGGTGAATTAGAAAATGTCACTTCAATGCCTTCCTCCACCCAGAGACGTGTGGGGCGTGCGTAGCATCGCTGGGCTTGGCAAGCCTGCTCTGCAATACGCAGACTTCAGGAGGAAGGACAGAGGAAACTTTTTCTCACAGACTAGTTCAAGATGTGATCAAGATAGTCTTGTGCAGCTTTGGGTGCAGTGAAGTAGGAAGCAGTAACCTATGCGAAGAAAAGAACAGGCAGAACCACAGAGGAGGAGGTCCTGAAACAGGCAGGAGGCCTCTGTTGCTCCTGCCAGCCCTATGCTGAGAAAGGAAGCATAAAGGACCAGGTAGATGAGACTGCATCATCAGGGTACAAATCTCTATTCCAAGACTGGATCTCCTTCCTTGGACAGGCTTAAGCAACAATGGGTCACAAATGGGTCCTGTGCAAGTGCTTCAGTGCAGATAAGGAGTAATCTCCAATCCTTCCTTGCCTCAAAGAGACACTGATAGTCTAGTCCTGATGCTCAAGGTCTTTTCTGCCCTCCTCCCCCGCCCCCCCCGCAGCTCCCACCAACACAGAGCACCACAGACAACATAATGCCCTTGACACACATTTTAATCAGCCTCAAAGTTCTGGGCCTGTGAAACACTTCTAAAGCCCTGGGCTTTCAACAGCCCAATCCATACCAAACACTTTACCAGGTGTGGATAAAACGTGAAAGAATTTTCTAGTCAAGGTCCTCTTTAGTGAGACCTTATCCCATAGAAATGCAGCACTCCCACCCTTGGGCAAAGGTTTGACAGAAACAGAGGGTGAACCTGGCAGCGGGGTGAGGGTTTAGAGAAAATGAGTAGAGAGAGTTCCCTCTTGTCACAGTAATTTCTTAGGCAGCAGGGCAACACATGTACCTCTCCCTCTGCTATCCCAGGAGATGCCCTGCAAGCATGAGATCGAACAGGCATAATTAACATTTCCAGCAAGGAGGGCTCCTGTGATTCCTGAATTTTTAATATCAGTGGCTACAGAACTGGAGCCCTCTTATGTGGAGCTAAAGAAAATGAGACGTGGCTAAGTAAGCTCCATTATCTCCAGCTACAGCCCCGTGAAACACTGATAATTAGTTTACAAGCATCAAAGAGAAGAGAGCTATTCACCCACTTCAAGCCGTCTGGTGCACCGTGGTTTTCCTGCAGACCTCTAATGTTAATCCCTATTTTTGGGACCGCAAATCACCTCTTAGTAAGTCTGAAACGTGGCTCCTGCTTTTAACCCAATGGAGGTAGCACTTGGAAAGCATGAGCATGCCCTAAGGACTCATGTTTTCCTGATTGTTGCATCTTAGAAATCCACAGTAGGATTTTAAAAAAAAGTCCAACTAAAGGAGGTGGTTAAATCTTTGAAGCCCATGCATTATCCCGTGCATCATACAAAGAGATCTGTCTTCAGGAAAATTACACTGATCCGTTTGTTTAGACTTCATAAAAATCTGAAAGCAGTCATCAAGGGTTATCGACGGGGAAGTACCCAAACCCAAAGGTTAAACGGCACCGTTATTGCCGATGAGCCTCCCGCGCTGGCTCCAGCACCCGCTCCAGGCTCCCTCTGTGCTCCCTGGCACACACAGCACTGTGGGGTGCAGGGAACCAGCAGCACCAGGTGGCTACAGGACAGGCTCGAGTTTTGGCTAGAGGGTATTCAAGAAAGGAAACTGGTTTGGATAAATTTCAGTGAAAACCCCTTGGAATTTAAATGAAAAGTAATAGAAAAAATAATTACTGGAACCGAACAAAACGTTTTCTTTCTGAGAGTTTTAAAGATATTTTTAAAAAGCATTTAGGAAAAAAAACTAGCATTTTGCATTTAGGAAAAAAAAATTCCTTGAGGTTCCCTTTCATTATTTTTTTAAAGGCATATTTGGCTGAAAAAATTCACTGATCAGTGAAAATGCACTGAATGTTTTGATCAACTCATCCAACACAAAATTCAAGCAAAAAGAAAGTTGGACCCAAAAGTCAGCAAGTTCACATCAGTTGCAGGAAGGGGAAAGTCACTTTCCATCCTGACAAAGTGTAATGAAGCTGGCCTGCGGATCCTTTTCTGAAGCACGGTAATCACCCTCTGCGCACCAGTAAAGGACCTGGGGGGTCCTGTATATTATCCCTGGGGCAGTCTAAGGTTAAATTCAGCAAAAAGTGAGAGGCATTCCGATATAATGGTAATACGGCCCTGTAAGTACTGATGAGAGACAGAAACATGGGAGTGACAGACAGAAAGATTTAACTGTGCTGAAATATTTTTATATAACATAACAGATACCCAGTTTTGGAACATACCCACAGGGCAAGACTGACTGCACTGTGCTGCTTTCAGGATTTTCTGAAGCATCTGCCTCATTACAGAGCTCCCGGAAAGCACGGGTAGTAAATGGCAGAGATCCCCCTTGCTTTTGCATTATTTTTGGCTATGGCACGTAATTGAAAAAGAGCTGAAATGCCTTAGTTGTAGCTTGAGATTCCCCTTCATGTATTTGCACATGATTAATGAGTAGCCAAAAAGCCTGAAGGGTTTGTAATGAAGCCTTTCTAATAGGCAAATGTATTATAGACAAATCCATATTTTGTCCCAAATAATCATTCATCAAAGCTGCAATCTGACTCTTCACAATTAAATGTCAGAGCACCTGGACCATCCTGAGATTAGCCATGCTCCTCTCTGCTCTGGCTGAGAGGGACATTGTCATCCATTTCCAAGGAAACAGCCTATTTCCTTTGTCACTAGCATTATGAGCAGGTGTATTTGATGACATTCGATTAGAGAGACAGTTGACCAAACCCGAGAATACAGAGGACTAAGTTGTCATGCAGGTTTCAATTCAACAAAGCGGGTAGCACGTGCTGAGCATCATCATGAGTCGAAAGTTGTACAGAACACCTACACGCATTTTTTGAGGGCAGAGAGCCTTCGCAGTGGGAGTCCTTCTCTTCCACAGCATAGATGGAAAGACAAGATTAGAGTATCCAGAGTCTGTCTGTGACAGCACAGGAAACACTAAGGCCTGGTTTAACATGTCATTAAGTAGCACTGACACTGTTGCTGTCTGTCCTGGAAGTGATGTGTGAACTGCAAGGAGTCCTGGAAATTCTGGGAGCCAACTATGTGCCTGAGGTCCTGGTTAAAACAAGACTCAATAATTTGTTAGTCTTTCAATAGCATCCAGAGCCCAAATCTGAGGTCCATTAAACACGATGTTTAACCAACCTGTCAAAAGATGCCAGGCCTGTAAAGGAGCCCAACCTTTCGGTCTGGTAGAGTAAGAACAATTCTGTATAGCTTCTTTTAGTGCAGTCCCTATGGATTGGATTGAGACTCACATATATTTTGCTCAGGTCCTCAGACAGCTGGATGGACAATGACATATTTCACTCAGTTTCATTAAACACTGAGCTCATATCTGTATCTAGGGGTGAAAGTCAGTAAATTTCTCCCACTTACATTTTAATGCTGTAATACAATATAGGTGTAATAATGCAATAAAGTAATATGGTAAATTAGAATTTCACCGACTCAAAATATGTTCAGGAAAAACTTTGAGAGTTGCAGCTTCAGGGTTGAAAAGTCCTGACCTTAAAAAAAAAAACAAAAATCCAAACCACCACACACTTCTGGAGAGTCTGGTGGTCACATGTTAATTTATAACTATGTGATTATTTTGTTTTTAATTAGGGAGTAACAGCCACTGCTTTCAAAGGCTTTACTGAAGTTCCCACACTTTATCCACAGGTGTGCATGTCTGCCTCTTAGTAGAGAGATGGCCAAGGAGGAAACAAAAGGTCAAAAAGAGAAAAAGATCACCTTGAAAATTGCCAAAAATTCTATCCGGATATGTTTTGATGGAGGGCGCCGTCTTGACTTAAGCAAGATGGGTATCACCACCTTCCCCACGTGCATTCTGAAACTGGCTGATGTGGATGAACTTGATTTGAGCAGAAACATGTTAAAAAAGATTCCAAGCAGCATCCAGAAGTTTCAGAAACTGCGCTGGCTGGACCTGCATAGTAATCAGCTTGAGGGGCTGCCAGAGGCCATAGGTACTCTTCAGAACCTTTCCTACCTGAATGTATGCAACAACAAGCTGACCACCAAAACTCTGCCAGAAGAGTTGAGCCTTCTCAAGAACCTGAGTATTCTCAACCTTGGTTTGAACTGTCTTGAAAGTGTTCCCACCAGTCTTGGGGCTCTGAAAGAGCTTGAGGAGATAGGTCTCTTTGACAACGCCTTGACCATAATCCCAGACAGTGTGAAAAAACTCCCCAAGCTCAAGAAACTGAATGCAAAAAGAAACCCTTTCCCGGATTCAACAAAACAAGAAGAACATGCCGACTCCATTGAACGCACAGAAACACTTCACTTGGTACGAGAGAAAGACCTGTGCTGTTCCTGCCTGAAGATGTGTCAGGATGAGAGGGACAAGCTGAACAAGTTAAAGAATGTGACACCCAGCCCCGCAAAGAAGCTAAGTTTCCCTTTACTCCTTACACCCAATTCTTCAGCAAAGGATAACCAAGAAGAATGGAGATTAAGAGACAATCGTCCTTGAAATACACCCAGGCACTCCACAGACCACTTCCCGTGAAGTCCAATCCAGCCTAATAAAAAGTTGACTTCCGTCCTCCTCTCTTTTCCTGCAGTTCTTTTCCTTTAAAGACCTACTTAGTTTTTGAAGCAGCAGATCTGTTTGGTCTCTAAAACGAAATCCAAAACAGCTAAAACAGTTGTGCATTTGGGAAAAGAAGGATTATTTCCATTTGGGCCTGTTCCTAAAACACATTCTCCATGTCTGGGTTTGTTTGGGTTTTTTTTGTCTTTTGTGTGTGCACATGTCCAGTGAAGGAATCTACAAAATAATAGGTTTTTCTAGTAACTCCACTCCCACCACTGTGCCCCAAACATTAGTTCTGCTCATTTTCACAGGGTGAGACACAGTCAAAATAGTCTAAGTAAATACCATTTGGAAGAAAGGGAACAGATCTGGGAACCTTCTGCTGCTGGTGGCCGCCACCAACTCCTCAGAGAATTTCAGATAGGCTATGTCAGTGTAGGAACCATGACCCCATTCCAATTCAGCAGAGACAGCAATGTTACAGTCAGGAGTGACTAAGCAGTGCAAATACAATGCTTAGAGCTAAACAACCAGTGATCCTGTTTGCCATGAAGGGGCCAGACTCTGCATAAGCAAGTTTTCTGGGATTTTGGATGCTATATGTGGATACAGTGACCTCTAACTTGTACAACACAATCACTACCACTACCTATAATCATTGTGGTTTTTTCTTCCTCTGAGTCTTCCTCCAAGGAAGGTACAGAAGGGAGAAGGGGTAGGGAAGAGATTGCTCTTTTTAAGGGTCCTGGACATATCATTTCGGCAGTGATCAGAAGGAGAGCCAACCTCTTCCATGATCCACAAGTCATCTGGTGAATTGAAATAAGGTCTGGTGTCCCCACTGTACTTTCAGTTTTCTGTTCACTTGAGTGCATGTGCAACTGAGCACACACATTCACTTGCTCAAATCACATCCCGAGGGCAGAGTGTTGACAGCCTGAGAACTGCAATATACAGGTACAAGCAATGAGCGGAGTATAAAAGCAGTCAAGCATGACATGAGAAGAGTGTTACTCAGGTGTAAAAATGTTAACTTACAAGATAGGTAATAACCTACAACAGATAGAGTGAAAATTAAGGAGTACAGCTGAGACAGACCACAGCTCACCACAGGGGCTATCTGCCCCTCAGGTCTCAACAGTATTTCAGTCTCCAACCAATCATTTCAGAGGACACCAATTAGGCACTTAGGTTTGTGTTCCTGAGATATCCAAACTGAGAGGTGTTACAGGTATGCAAGTAACTCAAGGTCAGCATGGAATATACTCTCCATCATCTCCCACTAGAAGGAAACATTATTCCCTGAAGCGGTAAATTTGAGGGATAAGCTGGAATTGCCACTGCACACTTACTGTAACATGCCAAAACATCCATGTGTACATCTATCGCTGTCTACTCTAACCACGCAATAAAGAGGCCATTACACAGAAGCATTATGGATTAGCTCTAACCTCACCTCACTGCCTGTTTCTTTCCTTTGGAATCTTTAAAATAAAGGGCACAAATAGGTACATTTCTAGATGCTTTTTTTAAGGTGAAAATTATTCACATTACTGCACTGTCATCTACAGTAATCCAATGTTTCCTATGTTTTACCTCAGATTCAGGGACTCTTCTGTTATCCCCTTCGACTTCAAAGCAGGTTGGAAAGAGCAAAATCTATAGGAAATATGAAAGGCCACATTATAATTATTTAAATGTTTACCTGTATATATTGCATATGTATATAACCTATATTATGTCCTGACAACCATTTTTTCCTGATGGATGCCACATTTCACTGAGATTCTAACCTAGGACAAAGTTGCAAGACAACGGAGTGAAAGCATACATTTGGCATTGCCTATGGGCTTGATAAAAGCATTTTCTTTCCCAAACATTACCTTGTATTGATATATAGGGCTATGAACTTATGATAAGGTCGTTTAAAGTGCTGTTAATTAAAGTCAGAGAATGAGAACTCACTCAGACATTTATCTATCAAAAGTGGCAGAAAGAATACCAACCTACATCTCAGTCATTCCTATTTACTTTCATTGGGGGTTTATGATGTCAGACATGCTAAACCCTTGAAATACAAAGGTTTGATGACCTTCAGCTGAGGGGCAAAACAAGTAGCTGAGGATCAAACCTTATCTTGAACTGCTTCCACAAGATTCCCCAGAGATGTTTGTCAGAGCTGAGAGACAGCAAAGATATGGCTAAACAAAGCAGCTATCTCTGGGGCTGAACCTGGTGATTCTAAGTAGTCACACTATGCAGCCAGTATAGAAAGGAAGAACAGATAAATCTGCATTGAGTTTTTAAGCAATACTCCATTAGAAACAGTTCAGAGATTTCAGGAGCACAACAGCTATGATTGTTTGGAAATTAACAGCACCAATCCTCAGTCCAGGATCCAGAATTTACCACGGGAAGTACTACATATTGAAAAGTTTTTCCTGCATGAAGGACAGTGAAAGTAAATCTGATACAACAGTCAGAACTGCAGTAGGAAAAAAAAGCAAGAAAACAAAGTGCAAATTAATCACTTCACAGTTTTACATTCAACTTCCATTAAATAAGACAAGCACATAAGGAAAAATCTTTTTAAACAAAAATTCCATTGTTAAAAGTTAACTCCACACCAAAGATACAAAGTCAGAGAAGTAAAATATTTTATTTCTAAACAATCTAGTGACACTTTGTGTGTTGGAAGAGACCAGGAAGAAACCTTCTTTCACCCAGTACTGTCAGGTGAGATGGAGGTGGATTTCATGTCAGTGAGAGGAAGCAGCACAGCTACGATTGCAATTTCCTGGGTTGCAGGGACCCACAACACATCACTGGGTGCTAGAAGAGTCCTACACATGCATTAGCTCCCTTGATAAATCAATGGCTATATAATGCTTTGAAGAATTCACAGGTCAGCAAAAGGAAAACTTCATAGCTTTGCTTAAGTGTAACCTGTTAGAGACTGAGGAGCTGCACTTGAAGAAAGAGCCCTTGGAGCAGCACAAGACAAACATCTGAAGCCAGAATAGGGGTGATAAGACCAGGAGTGTTCAAATGTTATTATGAAGTAGTGATTACCTCTTAAATATCTTATTTCGGTCACCGTCGTGGAAGACAAGAAATCTGGAATAACCATTTTTGAAGAATATTTCCAAGGCAATCTCCTGGAAAGGAAAATAATTTACAGTGTGAAGAGCTGCAGAGCAAAGCCCAGTGCTGCAAACAGTCCATCAAGGACTGTCCAATTCTTCAGGCCTGTAAAAAAAAGGCCTTGACTTTGTATCAGGTGTGAATAAGTGTAGCAAAATATGCCTAATATTCGCAATTTCTCCAACTGTAGGAATGATTCTACTCAGTTGACTATGAGTGCAAAAGCTTCTCTGAAGCAAAACCGAACTCCGGACACTGATTTAATCACCTGCCTCCTTCTGCTGCTTCTGAAACATTTTTATCTTGAAATCTCAATGTGTTAACAAGACATTAGTAGCATTATCTTCTAATTAGGTGAGAAAGATAACATGAAGAGGGGATGTTAATTAGAGTTTATTTTAGAAAGCAAACATACTGCTTTCTAAATGAACAGTGAGCTCAGCAAAAATGCCAAAATAGTCTCTCCTGATTAGGAGCAGCAGAGGGTCAAGGGGAGCTTATAGCAAGGGGAGTGCAATGGCACTGATTCAAAACAACAGGTAACTAGTTATGACTGCTTCAAAACTCCATAATTTTGTCAAGTAAAATCTGTGAATTACTCTTTAGACTGTACCAAAACTCTCTAGAGCAAGTACAGGCTGTGGTGCTGCAAGGACCTCTAGCTGCAACTCTTCTGTGATTGTCCTCACAGGCTCATCTAAACCAGACAAAACTAAAAGGGTACCAGGCCACTGGTGATGAGTAGCTTCTGGGTAGTACAGCTAAAGGCACAGAGGATTCAAATTGTTTGCTCCAATTTATGATTCATTTATTGACTCACATGCACAACTTGGAAGTTATTCCAAAAGACCCAGAGTAAGCATGGTGTACATAACCATAAACCTCTGCTGTCCAAAACTACTAGTCTGTTAGATGTGAGTATTACTGAAAGTGAGACATTTACTGGGAGCTTCCATCAAAACACAGGAAATTGACTTCAAGTCTTATTCTCAAAAACATTGAGAAAAACTGTGAAGAACATTGTTAGCATAACAACTAATAAGCCAACCACTCCAGTGAGGGTGCTTAAACACTCTGGTGAATATAGAAAGAGGTTCGTATTGCCACAGGGTAACAAAGCAATGATGGGAGCAAAAGCATTATGGTACTCAAGCACAGAAATCTCATCAGTCTTAGTAAAAACTGTGTAAGTAATTTTCAGTAACATCAACTTTTCCTCAAATGGCTGAGCATGTTAGTTCCTACCTGCAGAAGAAAGCGCATCAGATGAATCTCTTTTATATCATGATATGAATAACAGGAACACCTCTGCTCTCCCACAGCATGATCTTTATGACATAAGTTGAAAATAAATGGATCGCTGATGCTGGAAGAGAAAAATAAGATAGAAAAATTAATTTGAATCAAAAAAAGGTCAGGAGAGCCCTCATGAATATCTAAGCTCACCCTAAATAAGAATAAAAATACTAAGAGACAGCAAGATCAACTGGGGCATATGTGAACTGAAATAAAGCTAAATACTGAAAGCAGATTTTGTACTACTTCTCAAAACAAAATAAAGAGACTGTGGAGGCTAAGGTTAGGTTTGATATTATTTTAGTGCATGCAAATAGGCAAACAGCAAAGTTTTGTACACACTGAAGTCTGAGAAGCGGCCAGAGAAGGGTGGGAGAACCTAAAAGCCTGGGTCAAGGGCAAGCATCATACGGACACACAGCTATTACAAACAGCAACTAATTAGAACTAATAATTAAGCAATTAATTAATTATTACTTCAGTTTCATACATGTACTGCAATTGCTATCTACAGCCTAGCCCATCAAAAATCCCTTAGCAAAAACATATTAAGCTTGATCAGACCTAGTCCAATCGATCCTTAAGTCACCTGATAGATTGACTGATATTGGACTTGTAAAGAATCGGATGCAGAGCAGACAGGGAGTGAAAACACTGAGTTACTCACTGTCCCACCGGGCTTTGCACATGAGCGCACAGTATGCGCAAAGAGCTAAGTCTACAGACTCATTTTCAATATTGATCAGTTTCAATAAATCATGAGTCAAAGATGATAGCAGTGTGCCAAATATTAATTACGATTCTGTCTTGGAGAAACAAACAAAAAAATTATGAGGCAATGAAGCTAAAGGCTCTTTGTAATGACTGTTTCATATGAATAAAAGATGGGAGCCAGTCAGAAAGAAACATTAACAACACTTTAAAAGAATTGAAAACCAGCAACATATGTGTCAGACTGCCCACCGTCTCCATCTGTTGAGCTAAGAGAGTTCTTGTTGCACCCCAAAAGCCTGTGAACAAGCAACTGTGTCAGTTACGTTAAACAGTTCTGTGAACAGATGGAAAGTATGGTAAACTTCTTGCTGTGCTAATATCCCTCTTGAAATCCCTACAAAGTCTGTGAAAATTCTAGGTATTCATGTGCCTGCACTGAAGTTAACCAAGCAAGTCTCTGTGAGGAAAGAATGACTCACCTGGACAAGCAGTGACGCGTACAGTAGACTTCTTCTAGAGGGGATAACACAAAGCACTCGCAGATGTAAAAGTGCTCTTTGCCGAAGAGCAGCACACCTTCCAATGCTGTATGCCCCTGCACGACTGCCACAGAGCACTTGAATGTGACCTAGTATGGAAGGAAGCATAATGAAGCCACAAGTGGGCAACACAGGAGACAGGGACAGCAGGGACCAAGACCCAATGATGCAGGAGGACATATGCTTGTACCAAAACAGCTGCCATCTTGACTGGCAGGTCTATAGGGATGCAGCCACAAAATCACCATATGACTGACAGTGCATGACTCTGCGGTACTAGTAGTGGGAGGGTCTGATGCCCTTTTTCCTTGGTAAAACTGTTCCTTTCCCATCTATCTGTGGCTATGTTTAGCAACATTGCTGCTGAACATGAAGAGCTTGCAAATGGTGCAGGAGTTTGCACTGTGAAACTCTGTTAGACAGCAATGCTTACTACACAGACAGCGGGCTGAAGCACTGAGGAAATAAGTGACTTACACAACATCATACAGAAAAACAGTGGCATATAATAAATATATATATTTAAAATACAGAGAAAAGGAAAATACTTTTATTTAGATCCCAGTGAAAAAATATACTTGAAAAAATACTGCAAAGGGATCCCAGGGAGCAATGAGCAAGTAAAGGATCTAATACTGTAGGTATCTATCTCACCATGGCCAGCTGAATCAGCACACAATGTATCAAATCTCAATAACACGAAACTCCCTTCATTAGCACTTTTCCTTCCTATATTATATAGATGGCCAATCAAAACATAGGAAACTATGATTCTAGTTGTCTTAAAGACTTAGTTAAACATTCTGGAATAGTTTAAAAAACCTCCCTTGGCATCCTAATACTCCCTTTCTTTTTCTTTCTCCTGAGCAGATTAACTTGGCCCTAAAAATAGAGGAATTTCTAACCCATAATTTAGAAGCATTGAAGAACTTTTCAACAAAGTAGTTCTTCAGTCATATATGCCAAGTCATAGGAAGTTTTCTTGAGAATTGACTAGTTTTGCTAAAGTAAAAAAAGCCTTCTTTCTGGAATAGTTTCTATGGTTGAGAGATGGTGTAGAAAGGAAACAGACCAATAGACAACAGAAAAGCCCAGCAAGCCAGAAAATTGTGCAGGTACAGGGAAACAAAGTTCTGATTTTAAATCAAGAAGTAATTAATTGTAAAGAATTTCCCTAACATTTAGGGTCATGAAGTTCCTTATTTTTCTTGTCTTTTGATTCAATCTTATATATATACACTCAGCTCCAAAAGAGCAGTTTGCTGGTTAGCACAGTCAACTGAGAGGATCAAGGTCAACTCACTGCTGTTCCCAGTTTGGATCAGAACTTTGAACCAGTATTTCCTGCATTCCCTGGGAAGGAGTCAGGAACTAATCATCAGCCTATTAGCCCAACGTCAGATGAAGCACCCTCTATCTGCAAAAGTCCCTTCAAACATTCATACCATAACAAAACACTAATGCTCCCAAAATCTTAAAACACTAATACTACCTTTCCTACTAAAAAACCTACCTGCTTACTGCTGAGCTCCCCCTGTAAATCAACACAGTCCTAACCTACACCCAATCCAGAAATGAGTGTAAACTTTTGCAAGCTGAATCCATCTGAAACTGCAAGGATCAGAGAAATGCATATAGAGGCGTCTGATCTGAGAGATATTTATGTGATACAGGTTTGCTGGTTCAGAAATCTAATGTAATGTTCCTGAGAGAACTGATTGACAAGTATGAAAGGTATAACAAAGTCTATTTGTTCTCTTAAGATCTCAATGATCTTACCTCTACCAAACTTCATAAGAACAAGGGTTCTTCATAAGAACAATATTGTTCTTATTGTTCATAAGAACAATAATACAGTCCTGTATTATTTTTGGTGAATGCAAAAATGACCCAGAAATATCATTGGTTCTCTCTATGGACAGTACATACGGTTCTCCTTTGCTTTTTGCCTTTTTTCCTATCTTACTATTTCTAGAACTAAATCTACAACCTTCCTTGCCTCCATCCCAAAATACACATAGTCTAACACAGGTCAGCTGAAACAGACCTGCACTGCTACAAAAGCTTTCAGTCTTGGATGCCAGCATAATATAAATAATAGATTCATAAACAATGGAAATAGAATCTTTTTTCTACATTTAAATTATTTTACTGATAATTAATTATTTTATCAACAAAAAGGGGGTGGAGAGTGGGGGGATGTCATTTTGAAATAATATGAGTGGGGACAGAAGGTTGTTTTCATTCTGGGTTTAAAAAAACAACTCTGGAAGATTTCCATGGATAATTTTTGATGAAAATTCCTTCAATCTTTTTCTCTTTCC